GAGTGATCAGAAAAATTATAGCCTACTTTCCGGGAATTTTATTTGCCCATAGGCAATCTTTTGGGACACTGGTCTGCGTAGGTGTTTTCTCTTTCCAGTTGTATTTAAACTCATGTTATACATTTCAGTTTGTGTGTCAACAAAATGTCTTTTCACTTGTCTCATGGTTATCAACTGTAACATACTCTTTTATAATATGCTTTTGGGCAACGTTAATAGGCGAAATCGCACCTGATCACAAGTAGTATGCATCTAAACGCCATGAGCAGAGCCATACCCACTCTGTCTTACCGTGCGTTTTATATGTTAATGGTGTGAAATTTGTATGAAATCCGGGATACTAACCATTTCTTCCATCAATCTGCATAACATCTTAAATCGGGTAACAACAACAAACATTGGGAAACATTTCATTCGAACCATCTCTCAACATATCCGGACAGTTTTTAAAAAGATGGTGTGTTGATTGAGTAGGATTTGATTAAAGCAAAATGCAATAGTATTTTCAGTGTGTTAACCTGATCGAAATCAAAAGATGGACTCAATAACTGGGATACTACTGTTCTTTTTAAGGGCACTCAAAGACTAATGTCTGCGTAAGTTTGAGCGATGGGAAGTTCTTCAGTTGATCAAACTTCTATTTAGATACTACGGCAATAGCTATGACCACATGCTGAGTTCTGGTTGATGGCTCACTGGGAGTCTGATCATCCCTAATGCGTTGGTATGTCCGGCGCTTTAACCGGATTCCAAATCTATGGTGCACATGGGCACCAGTATCCTACGGGAACAAATGGCGTATAAACCAATTTTCGGTCACCGGCTACCATGGAACTGCATCTCCTTACGATGCCCCACTGCCTTGTGGGTTAGACCTTTAGGTCAAAGGCTCGGGGTGTGGCCCCCTAGGATAACCACCTGCTTCGGTCTGGGCACCCGGGCATTATCGCAGCCCACACGCAATTAATGAACTGAGATTGTGTGGCGCATATATATTTGGCGCACTCCTGTACCAATATATATGTGTTCAAATAATAATAATAATGGTGTCAGACGAAATCTCAGCACGGATTCGAAAAGCTCGTTTGGCTTTTGCCAACTTACGTCACCTTTGGCGAAGGCGAGATATCCGTCTATCAATAAAAGGACGAGTATACTGTGCGGCAGTCCGTTCTGTTTTACTTTACGGCAGCGAAACATGGCCTTTAAGAGTAGAAGACACTCGTAAGCTACTAGTATTTGTTCACAGATGACTTAGAAATATTGCTGGCGTCTGCTGGGATCACCGGATAAGTAATAGTGAGGTTCGACGCAGGGTATTGGGGAATGATGGTAAATCAGTTGACGAGGTTGTTAATCTTCATCGACTGAGATGGTTGGGCTACGTGTTACGTATGCCTGAGCACCGATTACCACGACGCGCAATGCTAACCGGTGTTGGAGATGGTTGGAAGAGAATTAGGGGCGGCCAAACCAAAACGTGGAATCAGTGTTTGAAGACACTAACCTCTAGTCTGAGCCATCTTGGTAGATGCAGACTACTTGTTTGGGATCCGCGTGACATTCGTAACCAATGATTGGAGACTCTTGGTGACGTGGCTGAGAATCGATCACAATGGAGTCAGTGTATACACTCCCTGTCTTCCCTTAAACTAAGAGATTAAAATCACTTCATATCTTCCTTTCTACGAACTAATTCTTTCTTCCTATACTATATCCTTGTATGCAATCTTTCTCCTATATATTACCACCTTTGACCTAACCAATCCTATGAGTCTGGTGTTCATCTTGCTGTGCTAATGAGGTATGGCAACCTGGACCGATGCACATATGTGCCTGGTCCTATGTTGTAGCTGACTGACTGGGAAAGTCTGTACTTAGTTGCCAAGTGGTATTTTCGGAGTGTTGTTGTAGATTTTCTGTTCTAGATGACAAAAAGATGACGTTGGGTTCAAAGTTACTATCTGGTAATTGGGTTACTTCCACTCCCATATAATAAGAGGAATAGGTTTATTTTAGCTAATCTCTCGTCATATGGTAGCTTTTAAATTCAGAGGATTAACTTGGCTGTGGTACTGTGATGCTGGTTGCCCGAGTGAAACACCTTACTGCTGTCACACCCTGATAAGTCTTGTGGATCGAACGCTATATTCGTCTCCTAAGCTATTCTGTAACCCCAAGCTAGACCTATACAGCGAGAGAGAAGACTCAAATTATGCGAGAAGTAGTTTACTCCAAGGTTCATTTTAATACAGAAAATACAGGGTTTTTATAATATTTTAAATTTCCTTGGGTTTTTAGAAGATTCTGGAATGCTACTAAGCATAGTAGCAGTGTAGCGGCCAGCCAATCAGAGCCTCTACATGTGACGTTTCGCTTCCGTGATATTTTTGGCTAAGACGTCAAGTGAACGCTGACTGGACGAAGCGCTTTTTAATGATTCCTGATACTTGCTTGTCCTTTGCAAGCAATTTTCTGGATCACTCCAACACACCCCTCTACAGTCAGTAGTACGATTTCGCCTTTAGACCTTGGATTGCTGCTTTTAGTCTCCAATCGACCTGCCTGGTATGGTAGAACATAAAGGAACATATGTTCCAGCCAATATAACTAGGTTGGGTCATCACGTTAAGCAAACCATACACCACGTCAAGGTAGCAGCTACGGTCGAGATGTTGCTTTGTGAAACGTATCAGGTTTTCATCTAGATATGTAAATAATTTTATTTATTTAAGACATAGATATTGGTACAAGGAGGCACCAAATACATATGCGCCACACTAATCTCATTCGATATGTGCGAGGGCTGTGATACTGCTTGGGTGCCCAAACCGAAGCAGGTGGTTTTCATAGGGGGCCACTCCCCGAGCCTTTGACCTAAAGGTCTGATCCACAAGACAGTGGAGCAATGTCAAGGGATGCAATCCCATGGAAGCCGGTGACCAACAATTGGTTCATACGCCATTTGTTCCTTTAGGATACTGGAACCCATGTGCACCACTGATTTGGAATCCGGTTAAAACGCTGGACATTCGCTTTTCGTCCTCTCATTTTCCTAAACAACACCCCCGTCACGAGAAGGCAGTGAGTAGGACTTCCCTGGCAGAGGCTATATACGCGTGGCCGTGTGAGAGCATTTTGAGAGGGAGAGCGGACTCTCCCCACTCTCGGTCTTACCAGGGCATTTGGGGGCAAATGTAAATAATTCCTCCAGAATAATCTAAAATTTAAACAGCTGTTCTAGTTAAGCGTACAAAACGATAATTTCCAGGCTTATCCATCCTGACTGCTCTGAAAACATAATTCACAACGGTGTTCTTCCACTCGCTTGATAACTTACCTTGGGTTACCGAACGATTAAAGTATTTACCTAAAGGGTTTGCGATAAAAAATGTGAGTGACCTACTATATATTTTGCCTGATCGTGTTTATTTCGTCACAACAAGCTAACTTAGTAGCCTAATTACATTTAGTTCTTGAATTGTAACATCCAGAATTTATTTAATATGATTTGATTGTCCCTGTGACTAACATGTCTATACTGCAAACATGTTTCTAAAACAATTGTAGGACCAACTGGGAATTAGTCGTAAGTATGGCATGTACTTTGCATCTTTAAGATTCAAATTACTGCTGCAATACTAATATAAGCCGGTGCATGCACTCAGTCTTTGTGATGTGTCACCAGAAATGGTTGGAGAATTTTCATATTTTGTTAGTTGTGTAAGTGTTAGTGGTGCTTTAGTAAATAAAATCGATCTACGTTTATTAAAGGTCGGAGAATTTTATTGCAATTGGGACTGTTGTTCATCCCGTCATGATAATCTGACTGTAAAAAGTCGAGTTTACATCTCGTCAGCAAGAGAAGCTCTTCTATATGATTATTACACTTGGCCTCCAAGCTAAAGATGCTTGGCGATTCCCTATGTTTGATCACAGCTGTGCCTGAGTGTTCACACCTAGTAATAACACCATGTTGGTATTACTGAGGTTTGGCAATGTGTTCGGACACGATGACGATAATTGAATTAGTGTTACTATTCTTCAACACCGACTTTGATGGCCTACTTCCACGAACATTTTTTCAGATATATCCTCATTGCACATTATTTGGCAATTCTGAGACAAATTGAAGAAACAGGAAGGCAATCAGTTTATATGTTATGAAGGAATAGCTGTATAGGACTGTCATTTGTCGGTTTATTCTAACTCCTTAACCACCGTTCTAGAGATAGTGCAGCTCAATGGTCTGAGATGTTTTTAGATTTGATTCAGAATAAAAACTGGTGGTGATCTTGTTGTAGCTTTCTATCATACTCCTCATTAAAGTGAGATAAACATCCTAATCGAAAAAAGTTTTTCTTGGCTATATCTTCAACTGAACTGTATCGTCTTATTAAATACAGTTTTTGTTCATTTATTTGTTGAATGAGCTATCGTTCTCCTCCTTATTTCTTTACAATAGTATGAATTTATTTGCGTAAGGCACTTTTTAGTGCCGTATAGTACCAAGATGTGTGTGTTTGAATAAATAAGTTTGTGAGTAACCTCCTCTTAGTGATATTGTTGACCCATTTCCATGAAATTCTGAAATGCCGCACTCTTCTCTGTCTTACTGTTTACGTACGAAAATAGGCGTTTTGGGTATTCTATAGGCTTTAGTAAGCTCGAATTCATACTTTTTTCTGAACTGTTATAGGGCTATGACCCAAATGTTTTTGGTTCTTTATGTTAAGATTTACTCTCATCCTTGTCCAATTATGCAAATCTCTCTCCTATTCTTTTTGTCTTACGGAAAATATTTCCAAGTTCCTTTGTTGAAGCATATTGAGCTGCTCATCGATGTACGTGATGCTGTTCAATGTACTGAGCTATAACAATATTTTGTGCTCTAATTAATGATTTTGACAGCTTGTGATCAATTATTGAACATAAATGATTTATTACTTTGTTTTTGACAATTCTATTTTCTTAAAAAATAGCTATATCTTCTATTTCAGATGTGTTCAGCAGTTGATCGTACTTCCGATTTTATACGTTCCGTTCAACTTAGTCGTTCTAAATTGAATGACTTTAAGCGTCAAGATGAATTATCTTCTAATTCACTTGGAAATCACGTAATGGACCACACATCTTTGGGTATGCCTAAGGCTAATTCCAATGATTCCGTATTTGAAAACAATATTTCACACAAAATTAATGTTCTAAATGGATCTATAAAGAATCAAGATCACTCTAATAAAAAATCTGCTGCTCTTAGTCAGCGTTCACAGTTTACGAAAGCGGCTTCAGTTATTAGTCAAGATCTAACAAACACATTTTCTAAATTGGAACAGTTGAATGCATTAGCTCGAAAGCAAACGCTGTTCGATGATCATAGTTCGGAAATTCAACACTTGACATATGTTATAAAAGAATCTATAGCGAACCTAAACAATAGAATTGCTAATTTACAAGAAATTTCGAAATCTCAGGTGAGTTGGACCAAGTTTATTTTCTTAGGGAATTAGTTGACAGAGACGTATTTTGGTTTTATCGCTCGTAACACAATGTTTGTGACACAGTTTTACTGTAAGTAGTTGTTGTGGCATCAGTCCATGGAGCCATTGACAATGGGATTGAGCCATGTCAACCGATGTAGACTCCCTGATCACGGTCCGCGCGGTTATCGTAACCTATGGTTGCAATGGTGCAGATGCATGCACTATTTGTCTTCCTCCAAATTCTAAGCTTCTGGATCCCTCTAATTCTTTTTGTTTCACTAATTTATGTTTTCGTGAGTTGCATCTTCAATGCCTAGCCTTTTCTTTAACCACTGATACTGTTATTACCTCTACTATTGTGGCATTTTGCCTAACAATTTCATCTCTCTATGGTAACGGAGTATGGCAACTTGAACTGATGTACATACATTCCAGGTTTTACGTTGCAACTGACGGACTGGATTGTCACAAAAAGAGGAGTATCAACATGGAGCTTGTTAACAATTTCAAGTACTCATATTCATTGACTTAAAATTGACATTCACTCTGTATAGTAAAAATTTTCATAGCGTTGTTTTTGATGCTAATTGCGTACCAGATAAACACATCATTCCTTTTTGGTTGTATATTTAGAAGACTGTAAAGTTTTCAAGTACCATATGTTTTAAAAATAGAAGAATTAAACCACCTATATCACATTTAAAACACATATTATACGTCTGTTTCTTAACTTCATCCAAAGTGGTAATCAACATAGCTTCAACGATAGACCTTCATGCTCCAATGTGTTGTTTTATAAATGATATGAGACTTGAAGGAAACACCGTTAATTGGTTTATCATCTTCTACATCTGTTCACATAATACTAATTAGAAATTATATATAAGTTCCTTATCTTTTGTATCAGTGGCTTAATCACTGAATTTACTAACTTTCAGTCACTTGGTTACGAGTTCGAACTCCGTCACAAAGTCGAATAAGTGAATTTGTTTCTGGTCGATGAGTTATGTACAGTGTTATGTAAAAGACAAGTTACTAACTCTTATAAATATGAAAATAACATTTACCAACAACATAATACATTCTTCAATATTCTCATAATATACTCACAACTATAACTCCATTATGTACTCCGATACATTCGTTCTCATCCAATGTGTACCCATTTTATTCGGTCACACTTTGTCCATCCAAGACTTCTAGCAGTTTGTTTCAAAGTGAGTTACTAGTGCATACTGAGGTATGATTCAGTTAGGTAACTTATGAAAATCGTAGATAAACCTAAATCTCGAGGTTCCATTTCATCATACGATGTATAGACTAATAGTCTATGCTACAGATTTATAACATACATCATCTAAGTTTTATATGCATTTTTAAATCTCATTCTGCATGAGAACCATTATAATAATCGAGTTAACAAAAATTAAGTTCTTTTTCATTGTCAGGATCTTCCTTTAATGAAGTCGTACTATTTCTTTTTGTCACAGGTATCTGTTGGGAAACAACAATCTACACACTCTCGTTCCGTACTAATGGTTTTGCAAACTCATCTCGCTAAAATGTCTGATCAATTTCGAGGAGTGTTAGAATACCGTTCTAAGAATATAAAGTCACAGAATGCTCGTAAAAGCAAATATAGTTCATTGGATGACAAGTATGAATCATCTGAAACAATGTCATCTGTAAAACCTCCACATGTTGTTATCCCGTCAGTTTTGTTAAAAGTAAGCATGGTTCTATAATTTCCTTTAAATCCTAAATGTCATATCAACTGTTGCTTTCGTTGTTCCATGTTCTTCTACTGTATGATATACATTGATTATATTTCACTTGGTTCTACCCAAATCAACGTACCATAAAATAGGAAATAATACTTGTACACAAATAAGCCAAAAAGTGGCTGTGAATGTGGGAGGCATTAGCTAATAAACTGAGCATAACTTAAGAACCGTAAATCGTACAATAATAAATTATAGGTCAAAATAAAGCTTATCATAAAAGAAATATAAATATACATAATGTAATTGTTGAGTAGTTACACAATAAGAATATTTATAGAATATTAGTCCATGAATAGTCCTTGGAAATTACCTGTAATTTAATATTCACTAGGATATAACACACTACTATTCTAGTGTCGCTTAATGGTCGGTCATCGTTATAATCTCACTAATTAGGTTTTATAAATGAACGTTTAGTTAAAACTACATAGAATTACACTTTTAACTTATGCGTTCATCTGAATAGTGGTGACCCTCGGTGTTTTTTTCTTTTCATAATTATAAAGGATGATGAACGTGCCAGAGAAGCTTTACTCAGTGAAAAACAAGGAAATGATGGACTAAATGGTTTAGGGAATTTAGGACTATCTACTCTACCTGTAAACTCAAATTTAGGACTTGCTCAAAAATATATCAACACTGATCAAACTGATTCCTATTTACAATCTCGATCAGATGCAATGCAAAGTATTGAACATACAATTGTTGAACTGGGGCAAATTTTTCAACAATTAGCTACTATGGTTAGTTAAATTGTTATATTTGTTTTCATTATTCATCAATTATGTATTAATTTTACATAACCATATATTTTAGATGTCTACAAATTTACAATACGAATATTTATTTACATAATTACTGGCGATTTGTATAGTTTGTATCATGAACGAACACAGTTTAGAAAGTTACTGTTCTGGTTGGTCAGTATACAGACTATCATGCTACAGAATGACCACAGATATATAAACCTGACAATGAAGTCAGTTGTTTTGTCTAAATAACACAAATGAATGAATAAGTGGATAATATGTACAAATTATATTAAAATATGATTATAGAATCAATTACTTTTACAAATGATATTCATCACGGATTGACATCTGTCGGGGTATCATTAAAACCTCGGTACTTAGTAGAAAATAACTATTTTATCCTAGTGCGGTAGTTTATGCCAGTCCGTAATCACGATTTAACCAGACATCAAACCACAAGACCTATAGATTTCATCGAACTTGTTGAATCCAATGTAGTTCACATGACTAATTCATAACAATTCACAATTGAATTCATCTCCACAAAACTCTTCGACCAAGTTATGATTATTATTTCTTATCAAATTGGATGGACGGAAATATAAATATCTTTTAGATTAATTATGTATCAGGAGACTTAAAAATTGATTTGTCCTTTTTTTTGTATTCATTTTAATTATACCATTGAAGTTCATACTACTTAAAAGTATTTTCAAGTAAACTCTGTTTTGTTGTTTATACGTATGTGAATGAATAGATAGTAACAAGAGAATGAAAAGATTGAATTTGGTTATTGTTTTTTTGTTCGTGTTTTATTGACATTATTGATGAATTAATCAATAATATCATGTAAAGGAAGTACCTAAATTCGCTATAGCAATGTATTTGTTTTTATAGATGACAACCAGATTATGACTAAAAACTGTCATTTGGTACTTCAGTTTGTCAACAAGCTTTTTTTAATAGTTTACGTCACCAGTTATCCTTAATTATAAAATCACTGAAAGTCACGAAGTATTGGATAGCTATCTCATCCGACTGTGAAACTACTTAGAACTGCCAAGCTTCACTCCCGTCGGGTTTGGAACCCAGGACATTTAGGTCTCGCGGTGAGTGGCGCATAATATTTCACATATTCACGACATTACATAATCATCTTCTAGTGTCACTCGTTGGTTGGTAACTTTTCCACATACTGATTGTTTGTCAATTATCTAAGCACATTACTTACTTATGTTTGTTACCCCTCATGGAGGAGCACAGACCGCGCACCAACACTCTCCATCCAACCCTGTCCTGGACAGTTCTTTCCAGATGCTATTCAGCATTTTCTTGTATGCTTTCAATTCTCGGTTCAGTGTGTTGTTTGGCCTTCTTCTTTTCCGCTTCCCTTCAGGATTATAAGTTAGTTTGATGACTTCCGTAATGTATGTTCTATCCACTTCCAACGTCTTTTCCTTATTTCCTCCTCACCTGGAAGTTGGTTTGCTCTCTCCCACAGTAGGCTATTGCTGATGGTATCCGATCAATAGACATTGAGTATATTACGTAGACAAGTGTTTTTAAATATGTGTACTTTTTTGATGGTAGTTGCAGTAGTTCTCAAAGTTTCAGTTTCATACAATAGAACTAACTATCTTGACACTCGTACTGAAGATTATGAATTTGATGTTGGCTGATCTGACTGTTCGGACCACACTACAGAGAACCAAATAGATCATATTTGCATCAACAAAAAATTCCGAAGGACAATGGAAGATGTGAGAACCAGGAGAGGTGCTGACGTAGCTTCAGATCACCACCTAGTTGTAGCCAATTTAAAACTGAAGCTAAAAAAGAACTGGACAAGTGGACAAACAGCACTACAAAGGTTCAATACAGCCTTCCTTCGAGATACTGACAAACTCAATGAATTCAAGATAGCTCTCAACAACAGGTTCCAAGCCTTACAAGATCTACTGAAAGAAGAAGAAACTAGTATGGAGGACAACTGGAAAGGCATCAAGGAAGCATTAACTTCAACGTGTCAAGAGGTTCTGGGCCTAAAGAAACACCATCATAAGGAATGGATCTCTATAGAAACACTGGACAAGATCAAAGAAAGGAAGAACAAGAAGGCAGCAATTAACAACAGCCGAACACGAGCAGAGAAAGTCCAAGCACAAGCTGAATACATAGAAGCAAACAAACAAGTGAAGAGGAGCATTAGAGCCGACAAGAAGAAATACGTGGAAGAACTAGCAACGACGGCAGAAAAAGCTGCTAGAGAAGGAAATATGAAACAGCTTCACGATACAACGAAGAAACTAGCAGGGAAATACAGTAAACCAGAGAGGCCGGTCAAAGACAAAGAAGGCAAGCCAATCACCGAAATTCAACAACAGCGTAACAGATGGGTAGAATACTTCGAGGAACTCCTGAATAGGCCGGCTCCAATGAATCCACCGGACATCGAAGCAGCACACATAGATCTTCCTATAGATGTCAACCCACCAACGACGGAAGAAATTAGAATGGCCGTCAGACAAATCAAGAACGGGAAAGCAGCAGGACCCGACAACATACCAGCTGAAGCACTGAAATCAGACATCGAAGCAACCACAAGCATGCTTTACCTTCTATTCAAAAAGATTTGGGAGGAGGAACAAGTGCCGATGGACTGGAAAGAAGGACACCTCGTCAAGATTCCAAAGAAAGGAGATCTGAGCAAATGTGAAAACTACAGAGGCATTACACTACTGTCAATACCAGGGAAAGTCTTCAACAGAGTGTTGCTGAACCGGATGAAGGATGCAGTAGACGCCCAACTTCGAGATCAACAAGCTGGATTCCGTAAGGATCGGTCGTGCACAGACCAAATTGCAACACTACGGATCATCGTCGAACAATCAGTTGAGTGGAACTCATCACTATACATCAACTTCATTGATTATGAAAAGGCATTCGACAGTGTAGATAGGAGGACATTATGGAAACTTCTTCGACACTACGGAGTTCCTGAGAAGATTGTCAACATTATCCGGAACTCATACGACGGACTACAGTGCAAAGTAGTGCATGGAGGACAGCTGACAGATGCATTCCAAGTAAGGACTGGAGTCAGACAAGGCTGTTTACTCTCTCCCTTCCTCTTTCTTCTGGTGGTCGACTGGATTATGAAGACCTCGACATCTGAAGGAAAACACGGAATACAATGGACAGCTCAGAATCAATTAGACGATTTGGACTTCGCAGACGACCTAGCCCTCCTATCACGTACACACGAACAGATGCAGATGAAGACAGCCAGTGTAGCAGCAGTCTCTGCATCAGTAGGCCTCAGCATACACAAAGGGAAAACCAAGGTCCTCAAATTCAAAGCGGAGAACAGCAATCCAATCACTCTTGATGGCGAAACTCTGGAAGATGTAGAGTCCTTCACATACCTAGGAAGCATCATCGATGAACAAGGAGGTTCAGATGCAGACGTAAAGGCGAGGATCGGCAAAGCAAGGGTCGCATTCCTACAATTGAAGAACATATGGAACTCAAAACAACTTTCAACCAATATCAAAGTGAGAATCTTCAATACGAACGTCAAGGCAGTTCTACTGTATGGAGCTGAAACTTGGAGAACTACAACAACCACAATCAAGAAAGTACAAGTATTTATAAATAGCTGTCTACGCAAGATACTCAACATCCATTGGCCGGATACCATCAGCAATAGCCTTCTGTGGGAGAGAACAAACCAACTTCCAGCTGAAGAAGAAATTAGGAAAAGACGATGGAAATGGATAGGACATACATTACGCAAATCGTCAAACTGCATCACGAGGCAAGCCCTAACTTGGAATCCTGAAGGGAAGCGAAAAAGAGGAAGGCCAAAGAACACATTGCGTCGGATAATAGAAGCAGATATGAAAAGGATGAATTACAACTGGACGGAGCTAGAAAGGATTGCCCAGGACAGGGTTGGATGGAGAATGCTGGTGAGCGGCCTATGCTCCCTCACGAGGAGTAACAGGCGCAAGTAAGTGATCTGACTGTTAGGTGTTTTTTTTCATGCGAAATTGGTAAATGAAGCGAACAGTACAAATTCGTTGGTAAAGTGTTCAAAACCTTTAAAATGATAACGGAAATCTTCATTTTTCGTCATAGATTAAATGTGATTGTTCCTAAATCCTAATTATAAACCGTCAATTCTGACCTAAACACTTTAATCTATATAGCGACAAAGTATTGATGAATTTTAATTGGTGTTAGTTTGTGATGAGCACTCTAACCCTATATCCTAATCGAATTGATAGGCCAAAAACAGTGGGAACTCCTAAAGAATTTTTTCTCTATAATTGTTCAAGAAGATAGATATTGTACATTCATATCGACGAATTTATATGATATCCCGACAATAGACTCTTAAATTATGTAAAATTTGCTCTCATTTTAAAATATTATTGCTTTCTTTCCCATAAACTATCCATTTACAAAGTTGTCTTCTAATTGACTATGAATTGGCTGAAACTTCGTCTTAGTTATTTGAAGCTCTTCCCTGTACTATTCTCTTATTATTATTGTGTTATTAATTTTTTTACCTCAAATCTGCATTAATATGAATAACCATTCTGATGTGTTCTGTGAAAATAAGCTGCGATTAACTGATGATTAGAAACAGACATCTACTACCCGGCATATCAATTTTGTAATATGTATTTCTGCTCCTTTTTGTACTTCATCATAATATACTATTTTGATTATGTGACCTATTACTTGATCGTTGGTCAGATGATTGAGCCTAAGTATGTTACTTTACTAAACAGCCGAATGTTATTAAACACACTCTTAAAATATTCCCATGGGAGTTTGTAGCGATTGTTGGATTTTCATGGCTTACATCTTAATTAGATGTCCGTTGAAAACCAGAAAGCAATAGACAGCTGTTTATTCGTAGTCTAAAACTACTTAGCAGTCCCCAGCTTCTCCCCCACCGGGAATGGGACCTAGGTGATAAGTCTAGCTAATTGAACGCTAGATTTGGTTCCTAATCTCTTCTAGTAACCCTCAGGCTAGATCCACACAGCGACTTGAACACGAGAGAAAAGGCGTGAAATATGTAATTAACACTTTACTCCAAAGGTTCGTTTTAGTACCGAACTTATAAGTTTTTTATAGTATTTCAGATGTCCTTGGGTTCCCGAAAATTCTGGAATGCTACTAAACATAGTAGTAGTATAGTAATCAACCAATCAGAAACTCTACATGTGACTTTTCACTTTCTTGATGTTCCTGGCCAAATGTCTAGTGAACGCTGATTGGATAAGATGCTTTTCAGTATTTTTTCAGAGCATTTCTTGGCTTTTTTTCGAGGAGTTTTCTGGATCTCCCCAACACTAGAGAATTCAGGTTTCTCTGTAAGAGCCTAACCTTTAGATCAATAAGCTATAATTCAATAGTTTACGTGTTTAATTTCAATAAATTCATAGTATTACGCGATCATCTCCCACCACCTATGGTGAATAACTATCTAATATTTCTACTAGGGTTTTTCTTTTCAATATTCAATTTTATCATCTTCAGTTTTGTTTTACTTATACTTATCCTACAATTTTAAACTAAACTTATACGGATGTATATATATATATATATATATATGTGCAGGTACATGAACAAGATGAATCAATTCGTCGTATTGATGCTAATGTTGATGATGCAACAGTTTCAATTGAAGCTGGTCATTCAGAATTACTTCGTTATTTTCGTTCAATTAGTTCAAGTCGATGGCTTATGATTAAAGTATTCTTTGTTTTAATTATATTTTTTGTAATATTTGTTGTATTTTTTGCTTGATTTTCTCTCTTTTTCTTTTTGTAATTTATTATCATTATAATAAAAGAATATATGAATAAAGTGGAAGGTGAAACACATATTGAAATACCTCTCTTTACTATCGATTACTCATATTAATGTGTTACATAATCACACTATTTTGGGTTTTTTTGGTAACTTATCGTTTTATAGTTACAAACACACACATACAAACATACACAGATACGCATAACGTTTCATACACCTCCCGTATGTATGTAAGTGCACAAAAGACAATGGCATATATGTCGTAATAATACACAGAGAAATGGGAAAAAAACCCTACTGGAATTCCAAATAGGTAATCGTGTTTATTACTTCATTTCGTTCTCATTAATTCATAAATAAATAAATATCAATCTGTCTTTCATCCAATTTACTCACTATGTATAATAATGAGTTTGTTTGTTATGCTGTAGTTTGGTTAACTGTTGTGAAGTGGATCATTATAGACAATTAAGTAAAGAGTTATAATGAAATATATATTTTTTCTTTGTCTGGATGTGTTTCGTTCATTCTTTCTTGATACTCTGATCGTTTTCTTTGATCCCTATATTCCTTTTTTTTCTGTAATTCTATCTGCATCATTGATGCTGTGTTCCCTCCCTCCCTCCCCCTTCTCTCTCTCCCTCCCCCTCCGTCTCTCTCTCTCTCTCTCTCTCTCTATATATATATATATATATATATATATATATATATATGTATATATATGTATATATATCGACTATGCATCGTGTTTCTAGCGTACACACGAACTTCCTCTTATACCTTTTCAGTCTACACTTTCATTCTATCACCTTCCATGAAACTGTGTACAATGTGTAAATCCAACCTGTTTAATGATATCATTTGATCTTGTATTTCTTTTTTTTTTGTTATGTACCCAAACAGTTGAACTGTGCAACATTGTTTCGTTGAATATATAATGACTCTAGATCTATCTATCTATCTATCTATCTATTTATATCTCTGCCTTATTTTATATAAATGAAAGAGACAGTTCAATAAATATTACTGGTTTGATTTATAAACATTTCATAGATTGTTATTCATTTGTATTGTTAATATTTAGATCAAATAATTTCATTCATTTTAACCTTTATGACTTTCATCTTCCCCCCTTTTTTTGTTTAGAAATTGTTTTGTGATGAATAGATTGTATTAATTTTGTTGTTTTATTTTATTCTTTTTATTCATGTAAGGTGAATTGTTTAGTTTTTCCTCTTTTCTTTCTTCTAAAAAAAAGAAAGAAAGAAAGAGTACACAATCCAGAGGGGTCCATGAATTTCTGGTGAAATTCGTATCTGCTTCTCATTATTCAAGATATTACTCAATATCTAGGCATTTTTCTCATTTATTTAATGAATAAATGCTACATGTAAAAACATACTTTTCACTGGGTGGAGGGAGTGAGGAGATTTCATATCAAATTATAAATTTTTTTACTATTCTCTTTGGTAATTTTTTTTCTCATCCGGTAAGTTTGGATAAGCTACAATGACTTATTCATAGATGAGAGATATGGTTAGCTTTAGATAATTAATATGAAGTTTCAATTGGAGAGATACTGTTATATGCAATACTGACATGTTAAATGCTCATAAATGCTAGATATCGTACTTTTATTGAAGATTATTCTCACACATATGAAAGCGAATTGAATTTAATATAGGTGAAAGATTTACTTATCCATATCTCTAACTGAATACGTTTTTTTTATGATTATCGAATAATAAGACCAGTTGATCAACTTGTTTTCTTACAGAATGTTATGACAGTTTGGTTGACTATAATGGATAATGTTGAAATAACTTAGATGGATTTAATGTTAATTGTGTCACAAAATCGATCATTCAAATCTGAGATATTGAACAAATTTCAAGAGATATAACCATTAATCGACCAGTTGAATGTTTTGATCATTTCGTTTTTCATAGGCAGCTTGGAACCTAACATTTCTGGCCGGTTCACGTGACCAAACTGTATGAGCATAGAGTGATGAAATTATCAAAATACATGTCAGAATGATTGAAGCTGGAGCAGTATCAGCGTCAACAAAAACACTAAGCATAGAATGGATTTGTAGAGTAAAAGGTATAGAATCATTTTGAAACTCACAATCTAACGGATACTAATGGGCGGATGTATTTGCGCTATTACAACTGATTCTGAATCATATCACACAACGTCTTTAACCGTTGATTATGGAAATCATGCAAAACATAATAGTCTACCGTATGGTTCAGTTCAAAAATTAAAAAAATCATGGATTGGTTCGACGTCTTAGTTCGGTCATCCCATGTTGAATTTATATATTTGTATTAAGGAATTAAAGTAATTTGACTTCACATATAACAAATGATTGTTCATACACAAAACCGAAGAAATCAGTAGTAATATTTCATTCCTATCTATCATAATACAGAGGACATAATTAAATTTTAAACAGGTATTTCTCAAACTAATTTCTTTATGAATTATCGAATTTAAAATACAAAAAAGGTAAGATTCATAGTGGTGGCTCAATGTCCTGTACACTTTAGCTATGGACTGGACGATTACTACGAATTATCCGAACTTAGTTGAATCTAATGATAGATATTAATGACGCCTCAACTTCACTCAACCCAAGGGCGTGGCCAACAGTTAAATTCAGCAGCTTACAGTACCCTGTATGCATGTTGCCCCCAAATGTCCTGGTTCGGCCGAGAGTGGGGAGAGTCCGCTCTCCCTCTCCAAATGCTCTCACATGGCCACGCGTATATAGCCTCTGCCAGGGAAGTCCTACTCACTGCCTTCTCATGACGGGGTGTTGTTTACGAAAATGAGAGGACGAAAAGCGAATGTCCGGCGCTTTAACCGGATTCCAAACCAATGGTGCACATAGGTTCCAGTATCCTGCGGGAACAAATGGCGTGTGAACCAATTGTTGATCACCGGCTTCCATGGGACTGCCTTGTGGGTTAGACCTTCAGGTCGAATGCTCGGGGAGTGGCTCCCTAAGAAAACCACCTGCTTCTGTTTGGGCACCCGGACAGTATCACAGCCCTCACACATATCGAATAAGATTTGTGTGGCGTATATGTATTTGGTGCTTCCTTGTACCAATATCTATGTGTTAAAATAAAATTAAAAAATGCATGTTGATAATAGAAATTATACTCAACTTATGCCAATTTTCTATTTGTCAACTGATTCTCAAGTACTCCTCTATAGATTAAAGCAATCACATTACGCTCAATCATAGGTTCAAATCCTGTCTAGTGTACTTCATTTTAAATCGGTTCAATACTATTATTAAATGATGATACCAAAGTTTGACTTGGATCCACTAATTGGAATGAAGAAATATATACTGAGTATTTGGCACATGGTTTTAGAGACAAATCTAGATACACTTAGACATACCGTATTTTATGTTAAAATATGAGTGTGAGGACGACCCACGGGTGAACTGGAGGAAGCTCAGAGCCGAAGGTATTCCATTCAATCATCTTTTAGAAGAATGTTCCAGCATCCCTACATGTAGCTTCCTTATTGGACAAACGCTAATGACCCTCTGTATGCGGATTGGATGACTATAATGATGATTTCGCTTTTACTAAAAACTATAAATGCGTGGTAGTTTTATGCCATAATTGACACTGTTTGGAATAGCATTCCTTCTCACTAAACTTCTGTCTTCTCATTTGGGACTTATAGGGTTCTAGCGTTCGATTGCTTAAATTGCTTAAATTGTACGTGGTATATCAAAGAATCTAAGTTCTAGGTATAACAACTGGCGACGGGAATGGGACTAAATATAACAATGAGGAGAAAACCCATAACTTAACTTACGTTAGTCACCTTTATAATTGGAAGTTTATTTTTCATAGATAATGAAATATCTTCACTAAAAATATTAGGAATTTGCAGTTTTCATTTTGATCACAATACAAGAAGTTTTCAGTCAGGTGATTAAAATTCCGGGAACATATATTAGTACATTTCATTTGATATTCATTAACTATTAACTCATTAAAATTAAGCATTCAACAAAACAAACTATTATTTAGCAATCACTTGTGGTTTCTATGATTTTAACTTGCCTTTCAAGTAATCGACTCATTAACTAATGAATGTACAAGTTGACATATATATACATTCTGTTATGTCGTTACACTAACACAGTATTATGACAAAAGTAAATAATAAAGGAATACACATTCATGCTTTCAACATTCAAATACAAATTGTAATGGTTTAACATAGATCAGTTCATGATTTCAGTCCAATGCACTAATCTTCATAACTGTATACTGTCGAATAAATTAATGGCAAGTATCATGTATGAAATAAAACTAAGAAAATCATTTCGCTATACTTAATTTTCAACATATGATAACTGATTTTTAATACTGAAAAGAAACAAAATATTAATGATCTTATATAATTTCTGAATAAATCATGAAGAAGCTATTATTTTGAATTCCTTGATTTTTTTGGAATTTTAGTTCGTATTGTTATTGAGCAATCACTAACAAGTATTAATAATCCCTTCAATAAATAACAACGAGAAGCCATGATTAGTAAAGTACAAACAATCTAGCCCCTAAATTCCCTGATGGTGTTGAGGGTGGGAAGAGTCGTTTCTCCCTCTCGAAATGCTCTCACATGGCTACGTGTATATAGCCACTACCAGGGAAGTTGTACTCGCGGCGGTGGTGTGGTCTACGAAATTAACAGGACGAAAAGCGACTGATCGGTACCATAACCGGGTTGGTGGATATGGAGGATCCACCTAGGGGAGTTAAAAAAAAACCCTGATTCCAAATCAATGGTGCACATTGGCTACAGGATCCTGAGGGGACAAATGACGTATTAACCTATCGTTGATTACTGGCTACCATGGGATTGCATCTCCTCACGATGCTCCACTGCTTTGTGGATCAGACCTTTAGGTCGAAGGCTCCGGGTGTGGCCCTTACGAAAACCACCTACTTCGGTCTGGGCACCCGGACAGTATGACAGCCCACACACAAATCAAATGAAATGACAGTTACTATTGGAAATAATATTTTTGCTTCGATTGAAATTCAGACAATTTACATTGATTTGATAACATTCATATTTATTTTTCTATATACTACGTTGTGTTGTGTGCTACTGATGTTGACAGACATAAGTAGTATGTATCATCAGCCGAAAGTGAAATATCTGAAGGCAGAAGGTTAAGAAGATCGAAGGAAGAGGACGAGAACAAAGGGTGATTGCTGTGGAAGCGAAAAAAACAATGAAGTCAGAGTCGATTAAGTGACATTCTACAAATGAAGTATTTACTGTATGGTTCTCGGATTTTACCAAGTTGTTCTGTAATTTTATATTTAAATACATTCGATTGTCCCCAATTGTGTTCTCGTTCACTACAATTGCTTATCTAATCTCTTTTATTCTCGCTCTGTGTATTCTTATTGTTATGACTGTTATGTCTTCATTTCTGTCACCTAAGAATAATCACCTTTGAACTAACTACTGCCGGAAGCTTTTCCAACTCATCCGAACCACTGGTAACACGAAGTGTTATATGAGCGAAACTATCTGTGAAGATAATGGGATGCCATTCACTAACATCTAACGACATCTTGAACGATGGGCAGAGTTTTTCGAGGAGTAGTTCAACT